AACACAAGATAGAGTATAGCAGCGCATCGATGTGAAGCATCCATTATATCTTGGCTTGCAGTATCCATTGTTATTTCCATACGGTGAAGACGGTTATCGTGATGATGTCCAGCGTACTGTATCCAGTGGTAGGAAAAATGCAAGAGCCATGATCAGCATGAAGGAATTTTTTTCGTTTAGACTTCAGATGCAATCTGGAGAATCAGAAATTCTACATCGATCAAGGAAACTTTTCCAACAATTTCTGGTTGATGCATACACTATGATTGAGTTTGAACGACTTAATTTCATTCGATATAACCAGAGTCATCTGAGAGCTGAGTTGTACAAAAATATAAAACATTCATTAGATAGCGGTGAAGATGCAACACTGAGCACTGGAAAACGTATCATTATACCTTCTTCATTCACAGGCGGACCTAGATATATGGCTGAAAATTGTAAAGATGCTTTCGGAATTTGCCGTTGGGCTGGATATCCTCATCTTTTTATAACAATTACCTGCAATCCTAAGTGGCCAGAAATTACATGATTTGTTAGGGCCAGACAGCTGAACCCTGAAGATCGGCCTGATATTCTATGCAGAGTCTTCAAGTTCAAATTGGACCAGTTGCTACATGATTTAAAAAAGGAAAATATTCTTGGCAGATTCATTGCATGTAAGTATATTATAAACTTGATACTCTTTTTGTTAACTGGATTTTATACAAAAAAATTTACCTCATGCATTGAATCTTTCTATAACGTTGTTGTATTCTTATTATTACTTATGTTATATTCTTTGAATGTAACAGATGTTTGTACAATCGAATTCCAAAAGCGCGGACTACCTCATGCTCATATTCTTCTATTCTTGAACCCTTCAAGCAAAGCTGAAAGTGCTCTTGATATTGATAAATTGATTTCAGCCGAGATACCTGACAAGGAAATGAATCCTACGCTGTTTATGGCTGTCACGAGTTACATGATACATGGTCCATGTGGTCCTGAAAATTACAAATCTCCTTGCATGAAGGACGGACGGTGTTCAAAAAAATTTCCAAAAAACTTCTGCTCTCGTACTTTTATTGACGATGATGGATTTCCTCATTATAAGAGAAGAAATGATGGGAGAGTTGTGAACAAAAATGGTGTTGAACTTGATAATTGTTATGTTGTGCTCTATAATGCACACCTTCTTTTAAAGTACCAGACTCATATCAACGTTGAATATACTTGCAGAGAAGTGCCATTAAATATCTTTTTAAATACATCCACAAAGGGAATGACAGAGTGACAGCTGCCATAAATCATTCGGACGATGAAATAAAAATGTTTTATGACTGCAGGTACTAAAAATAATCTCCATTGTGTTTTGCTTTCCTACAAAATTGGCACAATTTTTTTGAGAAATTATTAACTTAAATGTTCACCGATTTATTTATTTATGATAGGTATGTCTCCGCATGTGAAGCAGCTTGGAGAATATTTGGATTTGACATTCATTCGAGATATCCCCTGTTCAGAGATTGCCATTTCACTTGCCTAATGAAAAGAACATTATTTTCAGTGATAATGATTCGTTGTATGATGTAAAGACAAGGGCGGAGTCTAGACTGTCAATTTTTGAGTCTTGGATGGATGCAAATAAAAAATATCCAGAAGGTAGGCATCTAACTTATGGAGAGTACCCGACTGAATTTGTTTTCAAAGAAAAAACGCATGAATGGAATCCGAGAAAAAAAGGATTTTCCATTGGAAGGATAAATCGTTTTTCTGCCAATAATGGAGAAGATTCATATCTTCGCACCTTGCTTAATTTTCAAAGAGGTTGCACCAGTTATGAAGATCTTAGAACGATCAATGGCGTGGTTTTTCCTACATTTAAGGATGCGTGCTATTCTTTAGGACTTCTGGTTGATGACAATGAGTACATTGATGCAATTAAGGAGGCAAGTTCCTGGGGATCTACGAAAAGAATAGGACGTTAAGGTACGGGTTATAATAATATTTCATACAATTTTTTTTTTGTTTAACCGAAATCAGCATATGCTGCCTTAGTACTTATTAGCTTTTTTTGCCCGTATTCAGCAAATGTTGCTTTAGTGCTTATTTTGTTTTTTTTTGCCCGCATTCAGCAAATGATGCTTTAGTACTTATTTCGCTCTCTTTTCTTTCTTTGATTACTTTATCTTTGTTAATTTTTTAATTTTTTTTCCTTTGAATTTTATGCTTTGTCAGATGCAATTCTTACAGAAGAGTCTATAAAAAACATAACTCTTGAAGAAATTGATAAGGTACTGCAGAGCAATGGGAAATGCCTCTCTGATTATCCGTCAATGCCACGCATCAATAGTGAAACTTTGCTTGATATGCAAAATCGATTAGTGTTGGATGAATTAATGTATGACATATTTGCTTTGGAAGAGGAGCATAAAAGACTAATTAATTCCCTCACTGATGAGCAGAAAGCTGTTTATGATAAAATTGTTTCAGCAGTTACGGCAGGTAATGGAGGGTTATTTTTCCTCTACGGGTTCAGTGGTACAGGAAAAACATTTATTTGGAATACTCTTTCAGCATCTATTAGATCAAAAGCTGGAATCGTACTTAATGTTGCTTCTAGCGGAATTGCTTCCCTTCTGCTTCTTGGAGGACGAACAACGCATTCTAGATTTCGTATTCCTATTCAAATCAATGAAGATTCAACGTGTAATATAAAGCTGAAATCTACTACAGCTGAGTTGCTGTCAAAAACAAAGTTAATCATTTGGGATGAAGCTCCAATGGTACATAGATTTTGCTTTGAGGCTCTGGATATGACACTGAGAGATGTTCTTAGAATTTCTGATACAAGCTGTGTTGATATGCCATTTGGTGGAAAAGTTGTTGTTCTAGGAGGTGACTTTCGGCAAATATTACCTGTCATTCCTCATGGAAGCAGACAAGATATAGTTCATGCAACCATCAATTCTTCTCATCTATGATCCCATTGTCATTTATTAACTTTGACCAAGAACATGCGTCTTAATTCTGGAAGTAGCGCTCACAATTTAGAGGAAATAAAAGAATTTTCTGAGTGGCTACTTAAAGTTGGGGATGGTAATCTTGGAGATTATGTTGATGGAGAATCTATTATAACAATTCCAGATGAATTGTTGATTAGAGAATCGGAAGATCCGCTGTCGGATATGGTTAATTTTGTTTATCCGAATCTCTTGGATAATATTTTGGATCAGACCTTCTTTAAAGAACGTGCTATTCTAACTCCTAAATTGTCCGATGTTGCTATGCTAAACGAGCACCTAATGTCTATGATTCCTGGTGAAGAAAGGACTTTTTTGAGTTCGGCTAAAATTCTTAAGCAAGGTGGGACTTCCTCTGTTGAGGATGATGAAATCACCCTTGAGATCTTAAATACATTATCATGCTCAGGGATTCCTGATAATAAATTAATCTTGAAAGTTAAAGTTCCAGTAATGCTATTAAGAAATATTGATCAGTCGAGAGGTTTATGCAATGGCACGAGATTGCTTATTACAAAATTAGGGAATCATGTTGTTGAGGCCATTGTACTTACAGGAAGCAATATAGGGGAAACTGTGTTAATCCCTAGAATGACGATGAGCCCATCGAGTCATACATTTCCTGTAAATTTCCAAAGAAGACAATTCCCCCTGATTGTATCGTTTGCCATGACTATCAACAAGAGTCAAGGACAATCACTTTCACATGTTGCAATTTATCTCCCTAAGCCTGTCTTCACTCATGGGCAATTATATGTGGCATTGTCTAGAGTAAATAGTAAGCATGGATTGAAGATATTGATACTTGATGAAAATGGCTGCGTTACGAATAATACCCTTAATATAGTTTACAAGGAAGTATTTCAAAGACTGCTATAGTATATTGGGTTCTTTATTCAAAGATATAACTTCGTTGTATGTACAGGTAAAGACAAAAAAAATGACTATTTATTCGCGTCTCTTTTCCTTATCTATCTTCAAAGATATGACCTTTATTATCCTATTTTCTTTCCTATTTTTAATGTAACAATGAATGACTGTTTTGTTATTTAAAAAATGACTGTTTGGGACCTTTGAAATACTAACAAAATGAGTTCGGCCCGGAGGGCCGACCCACCATGCCAAACAAACCAATTTTTTTTCCCGTGCATCGGTACGGGTAATTCACTAGTAATGGTAAAGGTAGCAGTGTGTATTAGGTGTGCGGTTCGATTCCCTGTAATGTCCAAAAAAAAAAGGTAGCAGGGGTATAAACAAGCCAATTTATTGGAAGTCTAAAATTTGGTTTCTTTTAAGTTTGATTTGGCCTCACTTGATTAATAAATATAGGAAAAAACTATTTTTATCTCACATGACATAAGTTTTTTCTCCTACATACCCTTTGATAACTGTGCCATCTTTTTTTTTTTTTTTTTCCAGGTGGTGGAGCCTACTAATTTGTCTTTATAACATGAGATAACTATCTTTTTTAACATGAGATTAATAAAACCCACAAATATATTGGGCTAAAACTTAAAAAATAAAGTTTGTTTAGTAAATAAGTCTATGTCTAATTTAATAATACTTGGCTTGAAAATCTATCAGCTGACCTGATATATTATTATAATAAATAATATATTTTTATGTTAGTGAATCGTTAACCTAACTTTTTTAACCCTATTTAGGGTTGTCTACTTGCATTCTATCACGATCACAGTTTCACAAATACACTCTGACTATTGGTCTCTTCTTTCCTCCATTGGTCATGAAGTCTCAGCTTTAATGTATCTTAAATTGGTTCCAAACTAGCTCATAAATCAAATCTCTAATGAGATAATTGAATGTATTGAATTTTTTTTTTGTTCCGGATAGATAGCACGAAAGATGTAATTATATATGAACTGAGTGAATTCTATGATTATTTTTTCTCAAACGAAGGAATACATGATTTGATGCATTTATAGTGTCAACATTTGGATGTATGTGATTTTGAAAAAAATACATTTTATAATTATAAATGAGCTAAGCCAAACTCAAGCCAAGTCTTTAATTTTTCATAAACAAGTCAAGCCTAGAATTTAGCTTGTATAAGGCTAATGGGTCAAGTCAAACTCAAAATATTTTTTATAGGCTTGGCTCATTTAAGCTAAAACTTGGCTCAGACCATAGCTCATTTACACCCTTAACTGGAAGACTAGAAAAACAGATTTAAATTTACGGGATGAGTTATATTTACAAACTTTTTGTTTATAAATTCTTACAAACTACACTATGTACTACGAATTCAGTATACTATCCTCAATGGGGCGATCAGTTTGTTGGTGACTGGTAACGAGGAGACCAGTTTGTTGGTGATCGATAATAGGGCGACCAGTTTGTTGGTGATCGGTAATAGGGCAACCGGTTCGTTGGTTACAGGTAATGGGGCGACCAGTTTATTGGTGACTGGTAATGGGACGGTTTACTTTGGTGTGACTCGATTTGGGTTCTCCATATGTTGGGCGGTCTCTATTCTAGATCTGATAATGGGGTGACTGATTTATTGGTGACCGGTAATGGGGCGGTTTACTTTGGCGTGACTTGATTTGGTTTCTCTATATGTTGGGCGGTCTCTGTTCTGGATCCGATAATGGGGTGACTGATTTATTAGTGACCGGTAATGGGGCGGTTTACTTTGGCGTGACTCGATTTGGTTTCTCCATATGTTGGGCAGTCTCCTTAGTTTTTCTTCTATAATCATGTAAAATGTAGAGTCTGTTGTTTCTTTAACGCTATGATTTTTGACATCTGGTGCTCGAAGGACGGTAAGAGGGAAGTATTGGTGCTTGGAGGTGAGCTTGTTCTCCACATGGTGGCTCTGAATATTTGGTTCTTGTATTCTTTTCTTCTAGATCTAGGTTTTGACATCTTTTGTTCTGGTTCTTCATTTTCTAGTTGATTCTACTCTGATTTTCTAGTGTTCTTTCAGTTCTGGTGTCTTGTATTCTGATTCGGTTGTCTCTGGTTCTGGTGTTCCTTTTTTTGATCTTCAAGCTCTTTTTTTTATTTCTGGTTCTTCGTGCTCTTCTAATTCAATGTAAGAACTGCGGAGGAATTGTCTTTCAATAGCTCATAGTAGAGAAGAGGGAATCGGAGTCCACCGTTCCCACAAACGGCGCTAATGTACCGATAGTGGTACATAAAATGTATCCTATGGAGGGTGAAGTATGTTGATATAGTGGGTGCTCATAGTGACAATGGTAGAGACCAAAGCACTAGTGAAGCTTCCTATGGTGCATAAGGGGGGTGTATGTGGCCAAGATGACTCTACCAATGGGCAGAGTAACAACATAGTAGAGAGTGGGGAAGAAGATCCCCCCTCCATGTGAGAGGGGGGGTATTTAGAGAGGAGAGTCCTCTTTTTCATGGGGGAGACCGTTGGTCTCTCCTATGAATTGTCTCATCCAACCATGTCTTGTCTTGAGACAAGACATACTGCCCACTGTCAATGTACAGGGGCAGCTGTGCAGGGAAGGAGAATGCTCCAGTAGTGAGCTCTATGGCTTGTCATCGGTGCCCTCTAGAAGGTTCTAGATATGGGCTTTAAGAGATTAGACCCATCTGATGGGCCTAAGGTGTGCATCCAGAACAACAAGAAAGCATTGAAGTAGATTAATATAACATTAACTAATGAGGCGGCAATATGAAATGCAACTCAAGTAGGGTTATCGTTGAAGTCTCAAACAAGATGAAAATTTAGGGGGAGGTGATTGGGCTCAACTATGGCCGGTGAAAGGTGATTGTTGCTAAGTTTCAGTAAGAAGAGCAATGGAGATAAAGATGACTCCTAAGAAGAGGTGAAATAATATTTACGGTACGGAGAAGATTCCCCTGACATGGAAATGTTATGTCATAACCGTTTTCCAACCCTATAGCCACCACTGAGATGTGAGGTTGCATGACTCCTCATGTTTAAGGGTGATGCATGCGTACAAATGAGAAATAATAAGGTGTACAAGGACCACTTGCCTTTTAGTGAAATGATGCTCTTGCCCTGAAGACAGTTCTCAGAACAGAACTGAAACCAAGGCTTACTTTTTTTTCTTCTGTTTTTTTTTTTTTGTTCAGCACACTGAATAAGTGCGTTGGACACATAAGAGTTTATAATTTCCTCAAGAATAACATCTTCATATAAAAATAATGAAATCTTAACTAATGGGAGTTTAGTATTAATTACTATAATGTAGTTCATTGTATCTCATGTAAGGACAAAATTGGACAAGTAATGTCTAACAAAGCAGAAAGTATTTGCAAAATTACTTTTATTTGAAGAAAGGAAGGAATGTCAAACAAATTGTGTAAATCAAACGTTTGGCATGGTACTCATATATGGGTCAATAGTTTTTTACAAAAGAATTATTTAGAAAGAACAAAAGTAAAGGCGGGATAATCAGAAACCTTCTTAGAAGCAAAGGAAACACACAAAAGAGGAATACATGAAAGGGCCAGAATGCAAATAACTCCCCTCAACTTTGGCCCTTAGGCAAATAGCTGCACAAACTTTCAATACGATGCAAATAACTTCTTTAACTATAAAAAGACCACAAATTTAGAAATCCAAATTGAAAATACAATTGCCCATATTAACGAAATTGTGAGGTATTTTACGTAGAAGCTCACATGTTTAAACTTCAAGATGTACAATGGGGAGCTTCAAGATGATTATAGTCTCACGATTACATAAGAAACTCAAAAAATTCTTCTTCATTTTATTGGTCACAGATATTATTATGTGGAAGATACAAACAACACAATCAGTTATATCAATTTCTTTCTAAGATCTTCACCAAACATAAGTTAGGAAGATGGAAATTCTCCTTGCTAAATTTACTCACCAAAGAATGGATTATGCTTTCTTCGAGTGTATATCCTAGTCTAAACATTAAATCTAAAACAACCATAATATCATCTAACTTATCTTCTTGCGACAAACTGTTAATCAGGTACTCAAAAGTCTGCCTCTGGGGTTTCAGCTTCAAACTCAGCATGTTTAGCAACCATTCCATTCCTTGAGCAGAATTTCCTTCTTTACATAATCCAACTATTATATGATCATGTGTAATGGCCATTGGTTCCAAATGCCTATCATGCATATCTTTCCACAACCTTATTGCACCCTGGGTGTCTCCGACTTTACAAAGTCCTTTTATAAGAGGAGTAAAAGAGAAAGCTGATGGCTCTAAACCCTGTGCCAGAAGTTTATTAAAGAGTTTCGTAGCCTTAACTAGATTCCATTCCTTGCACAGGCCTTTAATTAGAGAGTTGTATGTGACCAAATCAGGGACAACACCCTTATGAGACATTTCTTTAAACAAGCTCATAGCTTCAACTGTCTTTCCATGCAAACACAAACCTGAAATCATTGTGCAGTAGCTAACTGTGGGTTCAATATAACCTCTACCACACATATCCTTATAGAGCTTCCATGCCTTAACAAAATCACCCATCTTACAATACCCATGTATCATTGCATTATAGGTGTAATCATTGGGCAGAAATCCTTTTTGAATCATCTCAAACCATAGCTTCCTGGCCTCACCAAGCCGTCCCATCTCACAATTACCTTTGATTACTGTTGTGTACATGACCCTGTCTGGGAAATACCCTCTATCCTTGAGATCATTAAAAACCCGGAAACCCTCAGAATTCTTCTTCTTCAAAAGTCTATTTATGATTTCCTGATAAGTAAAGATATCAGGATTACATTTTTTTGCAATCATAATATGAAGGATCTCAGATACTCTAGCATATTGTCCCTCCTTACAGAACCCAGTTATAAGCACGTTGAAAACAGTTTTATCAGGACACAAACCATTTTCCAGAACCTGTCCAAGAAGTTCATACCCTTTGACAAAGTTATTTTCTGCACAGAATGCCTTTATCAGATATCCAACAGTTTCAACATCAATGCTAGCTACAACACCAGATTCCGTCATCTGCTCATACAATGTCCAAACCAGATCAGTCCTACCAACCTTCAAACAACCCAACAAAGATGCTTTCCAAGTTGTCACTGATGGAGAAAACCCAACCTTTCTCAACATAACAAACACATCAAGTGCATCCTCAACCATTCCATCACTGCAGAGATGCTGAATGTAACACTCCAAAGAGGCAGGCTCGGGAGTAAAACCTGAGCAATCAAGCAAGGATTTTGCTGCTTTGCATGCCCCAGCATCCACAAGCAAATCGAAGAGTGCAGTGCAGGAAGATTGATCAGGCAAGAAATCACAATGAGAGCACAGCCAGTGAAAGAAACGAAGGGAGAGGAAGGCATTGTTCTGGTGGTTCAGATAAAGGAGGAAGAAAGAAGGGTCAGCAAAATTGAAAGATGGGTATTGGGAAAGAAGGGTGTTCTCCCAACGAGGCTTTGTTCGAGTAATTCCGCAAATTTCTTTAGCAATACGCGTAAAGTTGCGATCTTTAGCATCTGGGTCTTTGGTGTGACAACACCCTTGTTCGCTTTCTGCAATGAGGTTTCGAAATTGGGTACTGCCCCTACGGTTTTGGCTAGAGAAAGCACGACTTCGGAGGAGGAAGGTTACGAAAGCATACGAAGGAGTTCCTCTCACCATTGTCAGCTCATGGGATTCAGTGGTTCCTGAATCGTTCAGACAAAGAAAAACCAATCAATGAATAATAATAATAATACTAAAAACACTACCAGAAATATGTAACCAGTAATTATAAAAGAGCATACCCAACTGAAAGTATTTCAGAATGACACAATTTCCTCAACTTTCCCACCACAAGAACTGGATCTATGTCTCCAATTAAAGTCATTTTATGGTCCTTGAATTATGAGGTCACTTAAACTTCAGAAGAGACTGACCAGCATACAAAGAAAAGATACTCCTGTTACTGACCAGAACAAGATGCATATCATCTAAAGAAGAAAGGATCAATTTGAATAGTTAAAGTCTTGCCTCACTGCCTCTGCAGTGTAGAAGGTATCTGGACGAGATCCCAGTTTCATGAATTTCACGGTTGTCAGTTTCTTATCCTAATGTACACATTTGAATCGAAAGCTATGTTGAATTTTACTGCACTAAAATTCAATAACAAAAAAAGCTGTTCCCAAAATACAATTCAATAACCAAATTGCATTAAAATACAGTGAGCTCTTATAGATCATTCAGCTCATACATGCCGATGATATGTCAATAGTTCAAATAAAATCATACCAGAATGTTCAACATCAAGAGGAACACGAAGACAATGGAATTCACATTTCAAATAGCATATTGAAAGAGAGTATTTAATGTAAAACTAGATTAAATTATTCTCACGAACAATGAAATTGATATAATATTTGGTGAATTTTACAAAGTAGATGATGAAATAAAAGTTATACTTCCAAGACACAAAAGTTTAATATTCTGCAATAAAGAAAATCCAAAATCTGCTTTCTTAGGAAGATGTCTTACAAAAGACATTTTTCAACTCTCTAAACAGTTTGATAAAATGTATAATTTGACAAAAGCATAGAAAAAATTGATGAAGACCAAATCATATATCTTGGATTTTCTCAAGCCAAATGAAGAGTATACAAAATACAATTTCAACAACCCTGCAACACAAGCATAAGCGATGCATATTTGTTAAAATTCAAATTCAATTCAATAAAGACATTACTGCTGATGCATACAATCTAAAGGGAACATTGTATCACAAAACAGAAAGAAATGTGGGTCTGAGATTGTAATCATGTAAGCATTTAAACAAACATTTGTCATGCTCACGAACTTGGCATCTTAACAATGCCTATCAGATTACCCCTAATATATAAGCCAAGTAAGTCAAAAGAAGAGTGCACATCAATAGCAGCACTCAGCAAACAGCAACCAAACACAATGCACAGAAGCTTGGATTCGGAAACACAAAGAACAGGAGAATGAAAAGGACGAGCGTTAGATGGAGAAACTCACAGAAGAGCAATTGGAACAGAAGTTCCCAGCCACCGAAAGCAATAGCTTAGCAGAGTGAAGAGCGAGCACCAGATCAGAGGACCACGAAGAAGCAGAACCTGAAGCTGAAAAACTGGAAGCAGAATCGACAACCTTGTTCACAACCCAAAACTAGAACTGGAAGCACATTCGTGAGTCGCGAGTGGGTGTTGAAGTTGAACTATTGATATTGGATAAGCCCACCTTAATCTAATTAATCAAGGGCCCATTGGGCCGTGGAGAGTTAAAAAGTCAGGTCACAAAGTGGGCTAATGAACAAAGGCTTTAACCCACTATTTTCCACGTAATTGGAGTCTAGTGGGCTGTATTGGGCACGGGTTTTGGATAAGCATCCGTATCTGGATCCGGATCCGGATCGTATGTATATCCGAATCCTACACCGCCAATTCCAAAAAAGCTGAAGAAGAAACGGGAATACGATTACCGTTTTCTCATCTCGTCCTAAATTCCTTACAACGCTTTTACCTGTTAATTGTAATACCCCACGTTTGTTCTTTTCGAAACCCTATTCTACTCTTTCTCTTTCTCCCATTCGAATTTCATTTTTTTTTCTATCTCTTCCGTCCAATTCATCAATGCTTCAAGGTAAGTTTTATATCTGAAACTCTAACTATTGATCCATTTCCTGCTGCGTTGACTTTCGTTGTTATTTTATGCTTTCGCTCAAAACTTCAATTTTGCACAAAATTATTGTTTTGTTTAATTACTCCTAATCTCTCTATTTTTTCAATTGCTTCATTGAATTGCCTTCATTTTTTTTTTTTTAATTCTAAACTTAATTACTTCGTGGTAATTTCCCCCCGAGATTATGATATTTTCTGATTAAATTGTATGGCCACTGAGAAAATGGGATAAACGTGCGTTAAGAATTAAGATAGGGTTTATTAAATTTTCAAGCAAGGTCATAGCTTTGTTGCAGTTTGTATCTTACTTATGCCAGTATGTATCTTTCACCTATTGCAGGAATAGATGCCTTCGCCTTAGCGTATAAAGTGTGCTTTTGCTTGCCTTGAAGGAGGAAGGGTGGCTGAAAAGAAAATTTAATATATCACTTTCGGAAAACTTTGAAGAGTTTGAAATACCTGCAGTTTTCGTCTAAAGTTATATAGGACATTCTTCCTTTGTCCATACTACTTAGATTTAATGGATAAGAATTTGGGACCATGATTTTGAAGGAGCATCCTGTTGGTACTGAATTGGCAATGAATAATGCCAGTGTGGAGGAGGAAATAGATTTTTCTTGTGAACCATACATAGGGTTAGAATTTGATTCATCAGATGATGCACTTAAGTTTTACACATCATATGCAAATCGGACGGGATTTAAAGTTCGGATTGGTCAGCTTTATCGATCAAGAACTGATGGGTCAGTCTCTTCGCGAAGATTTGTGTGCTCGAAGGAGGGATATCAGCTCAGTTCAAGAACAGGCTGTCCAGCATTCATAAGGGTGCAAATAAATGGTTCTGGAAAGTGGGTTGTTGATCATTTTCATGAGGACCACAATCACAATCTTGAAATCGAAAGTGAAAATTGCACTCCAACATTGCAACAGAAGGGTGCTACAGCTATCAATTCTCTTACTGAAGTGCCTCGCAGGCCAAGGAAGAAATTGCTCAAAGAAGACAATGATGAACTCTCTTGTCCTGTTGGCATTATTAATTTCAAGCGCCTGAGAAAGGAAGAACTTGAAGGACAGTCCATGATTGAACCATTTGTCGGTCAAGAGTTCAGTTCGCCCAATGAAGCATACCAATTTTATCATGCATATGCAGCATATTTGGGTTTTGCAATTCGAATTGGTCAATTGTTTCGTTCTAAGAATGATGGGTTGATCACATCACGCCGTTTTGTGTGCTCAAAAGAGGGGTTCCAGCGCCCTTCAAGAGTTGGTTGTGGGGCATATTTGAGGATTAAGAGACAACCATCGGGAAAGTGGGTAGTGGACCGTCTCCAAAAAGATCATAATCATGATCTGGACTCTGAAAAGGAAGGTAGGGCAAAAAGTCTTCCTGCTTCTAACATTTTGACTGAGGAGGTAGATACTGGACTGGTAAATGGTGACTTATTTAGGATAGATAACTACCCTGTCCCTAGAGGAGTTAGACAAAATCACATTAAAAGTGATTGGTACAGTGTGCTTTTAGAGTATTTTCAATCAAGACAAGCAGAAGATACTGGATTCTTTTATGCTGTGGAAGTTGATAATAGTAATTGCATGAGCATATTTTGGGCTGATGGCAGATCTAGATATTCATGTAGTCAGTTTGGTGATGTCCTTGTTATAGACACATCATACCGAAAAAGTATCTATTTGGTACCATTTGCTACTTTTGTTGGAGTTAACCATCACAAGCAACCTGTTCTTCTTGGATGTGCTCTAATTGCTGATGAATCTGAAGAGTCTTTCACTTGGTTGTTTCAGACATGGCTGAGGGCAATGTCTGGCCGGCAGCCTCTATCAGTAATAGCTGATCAAGACATTGCAATCCAGAGGGCAATAGCAAAAGTCTTTCCAGTAACCCATCATCGCTTTTCATTGTGGCAAATTAAGGCAAAGGAACAAGAAAACATGGGTATGATGGGTAGTGGGTTTACAACAGATTACGAAAAGTGTGTTTACCAGAGTCAGACAGTTGATGAATTTGACACCACATGGAATGCCCTACTCAACAAATATGGATTGAAGGACAATGCTTGGCTAAAAGAAATGTATGAGAAGCGTGCATCCTGGGCTCCATTATATTTAAAGGGCACATTTTTTGCTGGCATTCCCATGAATGAAAGTTTGGATTCATTCTTTGGTGCACTTTTAAATGCCCAAACGCCTCTCATGGAGTTCATTTCACGCTATGAAAGAGGTCTTGAGCGACGCCGTGAGCAAGAAAGGAAAGAGGATTTCAATACTTCTAATTTTCAACCCTATTTGCAAACAAAAGAACCAGTAGAAGAGCAATGTAGAAGGCTTTACACTCTTGCAGTATTCAAAGTATTTCAAAAAGAGCTTTTGCAGTGCTATAGTTATCTTGGGTTTAAAATATATGCAGAAGGGGGGCTCAGCAGATATTTGGTGCGTAGGGGTGGAAATGATGTGGAGAAGCATGTCGTTACATTTAGTGCATCCAATCTCAGTATTAGTTGTAGTTGTCAGATGTTTGAATATGAAGGTGTTCTTTGTAGACATGCATTGAGGCTTTTCCAGATATTGGAATTACGAGAAGTTCCTTCTCGCTACATCTTGCACCGATGGACTAGAAATGCTGAGGAAGGTGTTTTTCCTGACATAGAATCATGGAGTAGCTCTCAGGAACTCAAAAATTTGATGCTATGGAGTCTAAGAGAAACTGCATCTAAATACGTTGACGCTGGTGCAACATCTATTGAAAAGTATAAACTTGCCTATGAGATTTTGCGAGAGGGTGGGAGGAAGCTATGTTGGCACAGGTGAATGATTCTATGTTCTGTGAGCTTGTACACAGTTGTACGATTAATTTTTGTAGCTTGAACTGTTTATTTATGGTGGTATTTTAGCTCTTCTAATCAAATACTAACATTTTTCATTCGTCTTAGTATTTCTACCTTTTTAAGTAATTATTGAATGGATCAGATACAGGAACTATGCTGACTCCGTATATGGTGTGGTTCATACGAGTTTTTTAAGTAGGATTTATTTTAACAACAGAGACCCTGAACTCATGATAAGGATTGAAGTTGGTTTCACCTTAATTAATCTTAATTGAGCTGCACCTGCCATTTATGTTGCTTGTTTTAACGGTAATAAAATCAGAATGGTTTTCAAGTGAGCAACATCTGCTGTTTCTGGTGGCACTGGCAAAACAGGTAAATGTAATCATCTATTTTAGGGAGGATCCCCTGTCCTCCTACCTCTTTGCAATCATCTTCCCTTAGTCTTAATGAATTTCTTCGTTTATTAAAAAAATTGGTAAAAGTAAAGACCCAGGAGAGAGAGAGAGAGAGAGAGAGAGAGTAGACAGAGAAGCTGAGGAGGGGGGTGTTGAGTGGGTACGATATGTTAATTCATACTTATTACATTTGTGCCGTCTTTCCCATCATTGAGCTTGAAAACAGGTTTCCTGGTTGTTCCTGAGTTTGAAAGCCATGACCATTTATCCTTCAGACCTGATATAGCTAGAGTGTTCGTATTATGGGATCAAACATGTAATTGACTACAAATTATAGACCTTAGAAAGCGATACATCTCACACTTAAGAATTGTTTTACAAATTAAAATATTAGCAGTCCTCTTGCAACACAGGCATCCCCGGAATTTCAGATTTCCAACATTGGTGTGCTCAACCATGACTATTTGATTGCACTGGAGAATGCAAAGTCCTTCACTCCTTTGGTGGTACTAGGGAGGCCCTTGGTATCTGGAGAAATGGTAGGGTAACCGGTGTACTTCAGGACTCAGGGTAGGGGATTCTCAGTGCAAAGCATTGACTACTGGGCGACGCCCCAATGCCACGCAATTCCTCCTTTTTGTTCATAAAATATTGGGGTTTGATTTTCTTATGTTAAATGAGAATTCCATTCTCATGTTGTAGAGATAAAAAGCATGTGGGACCCATGTGTTAGAAAAAATTATATGTAGGACTTATGTCAGCACGGAAATCGAAGGGTGTGTAGGAAAATTTGAATTCTCATGTTAAATGAGAATTATAAAACCCTAAAATATTATGTAGTAGAAAAAACTGAAGTATTCTATATCCGAGTAGTTCTCAAGGCTGACTTTTTTTGGGTAAGTTGTTAATTGTTTATTTGAGGTTCCAGTAACTGCCAAATGCTAATGTGATAGGAATCAAACAGTAACAATAGAATTTTCTGAATAATTCCTCTATTTAAATCTCATTCCAGGAAAATCAACAAGGTTCCACTTAAAACAAATCTGGTTACATACTATAGTGCTGCTATAGTTCAGATTGTGCAGAAGAAAATAAAGAAAAAGTTAACAGAATGTAAATGCTTCAGGGTCCTTCGAGATGCCCTGAGATCTCCCATTTTGCATCAGCAAATCCAGTGACCTCCATGGTACCCGTTCCATCTTCACGTCCCTCAGCATCATTATTGGGTCCAGCAGTATTAGCAGTATTTGGCCACCTTCCTCTCTTGCTGTCTGATATAAATCTTGCCATATTTGGCTCTGTCAAGTTGGGCCCTATCATAATGTATTATAGGTCTTAATAGAAACCTCTCTTTATCGTTATTGACTTCTTGTAAAACAAGGTTAAATGGTTCGATCAATAAGAGAGGGTGGTAAGATTCAAAAACAATTATAATGGCAATTATTATAGGGTCATGTTGTTTACATAGAGTTGATTAATTTTACTCTTATATTTTTCTCCTTTTTTTTTGCAAGAGGGGTCCAAGGGATCCTTATCCTATGCAAAAAAGTATATTATAGTTAGGCAAGGCAATGCACCAAGATTCCTGTGTCAAAACTAGAACTGTAGAGAACCTGGTTTCGAATTGTCCGAGAGCATCACTGGTTAGTTCCTTGACATTCCATAGAAAAACTCTCAAGTGGATAATAGAAATCCAGAGCAGCTATTATATCCTCATCGTACCAATAGATTCATGCACGAGGTGATGGCAAGTCTCTTTAGTCTTTGAGAAGTAGATTGATTTAGACATAAAGCGGTGATCGGATAAATAATAACCAAAGATAATCCCCACTACCCACCACCGGATTCTCTTCCTTTCTGTTGTTTTCTTCCGCCCTCTGTTTTCTTTCGCTAGGCGGTTAATGGGACAATTGTTTCTATTAGCTTTTGGCCATAAAAAAAATCTTATCGGGAATGGAAATTTGGGGCTCCAATTTGAGTACTCAGCATGTTGTTTTCTAATTAATTTATATTTTATTTCCCTCCAAGTATCCACACTCTCAAGAAGTCCTTGTCAGGAACTGTACATTTATTACTTAGCTTATAAAAGAAAAAGTCGTCCATGCAATGAGTGAGTTTGAGCAGACACCTCTTTCCATGAAGCAGGATCTAATTGGAAAAATTCTTTGGTATATTACATTGTTTATATACAAAAAAATGCAGTTATTTTAGTGTTTTTTTACCTCCAAACAAATACATAGGCTAGCATGCTGCAGGCCACAAATCTGTTTCCAGTGTTGTGCTAGAGAATCCGGTTCCTTAGCTCTTTGGCTTATTCCTTTCTCGGCTTTTTTTTCTAAAGGCAAGCATAGCATTGTGCTTTGCTATATAGGCAATAGAATAGGATGTGGTATATAGCCAATAGAGATGTAGAAGTTTTCCTTTTTTTAATCCTTCAATAACAGTATGTGCCCTTTCCCCCCCCTCAAAAGTAGTTCGTTACTTCTTTTAAACTTGAGAAAAGTCCTGATTCTTCTTTTAGAAACGCAACGGAATTAAGATGAGTAATTAAATATATGCTTCTTTCCACAATACAAGAAAGCATTATACTTCTCTTCACAGTAAATTCTTCCCATATACAAACAAATAGTTGAAGATGCAAATTTTCTCCATCATTGATGGATACATAACCCAATACAACAACACAAAACTGAGCTTAACAACGTTTGTACCTGCATATACATATTACACATGTCAAAATACATGAACAGAGATAAAATCAGTAAGGAATTAAAATACTTTGCACCGTTTATTCTTTCTTACACTTCACAGCACATTAACCTTGATGCTTCATTGGTGAAACCAGAGTTTCACAGTAGACCTCTGCATCAAACCAACCCTTCCCACCCTCAATCCTAGGATACTTAAATGATTGGTTTCTTGGGTCATACAGAATCAAGTCAAACTCAAACATCAAAAGGATTTCACTGTTCTCTGAAATGCAATATGGCCCTGAATACGAAAAATCTTCAGGATTAGGCAAATAAGGAATGGTCACCAACTTAACCCAAGACTCTCTGACTCCATAGTCCTTCATTAGCCACACAACAAAATTGGTTCTTTTGTAATCATAATTCATGCATAGGCATCCCCGTAAAACACCCAAAGAAGGGGTGGAACATTCTTCCTTTTCATAATCAGGTGGCAGAACTTCCCTATATGTTTCCTTCTGCAGGTCCAAAGAAACAATAACCCATAAAGAACTTGACCCAACAGAGTAATTACCAGCCCAATTAAGAGTACCACTGACAAATTTCCCAGAACTTTGGTAGGGTGAGACACCATGAGGGAAATCCTGAATCTTTCTCCAAGAATTGGTGGCCATACTATAAACCTTCACTTTAGATTCACTGAAGAACTCATTAGGATCGCAAAACACAGCCACCACCTTGTAATCTTCAGTGACATGATCATAACCAAGGCCAAAAACAGTGAAACACCCCGGCCTCCAATTATTACCCAAAGGTGGAGATTTCTTGGAGAGCCTAATGGAAGGATTCCAGAGAAGCACACAGTCTCCTTTTATGGCAAAACAAAGCAACCCATTACAAGAGCCAACAATCCCATCATGGCGGTACTTGTTCTTAACTGGGTAGTTAAGGTCCTCACAAATGATCGATGAGTTATTGAACAAAGAGCTCACATAGCAAGACTTGAGGTGAAACTCAGCGGTTGTGTCACTCAATATGATCTTATGGTTGGTGAAGTGGGTGCTCTGAGATGAGAAGTGAAGATGCTTTTTGATGAAGTAAGGATCAGATATCAGTGACATCCATGACTTGCATACACACCTGAACTTTAGCAGAGACCTCACGGGGAGCCTTGAAAGAATCTCAACAACGAGCTCATCAGGGAGGAAGGGTAATGGAAGGGGTGTCACTCCTGACTCAGACATAGCTTGCTTCTGAACCAAAGAAGGTGGCAGTGGTGAGGTTTGGTCTATGTGATTGACGAGTCGCTCTCTCTTCTTGGTGGCATCTAGGTGGCGGCGTTGGTGGTGGTAATAGGCACTTCCCTGTGATGACATGTCAATAACAGAGGAGATTGTGGCGTTGGTGGTGATGTAGTGATGGGTGATGAGTATTTCTGTTGAGTTAGTCTGAGAGGTTCATGTGGTGGTTGATGAAGATGATGAATAGTATATATTATTATGATTGCTGAGACTTTAATAAAAGTAACCCATGAAATGGAACTGTGGTGCTTGAGGCCTAATACAACGCCACGTTGCAGTTCTGGAAAGACACAAGATAAAGAAGAGGAAGAAAACGAGATAAAGAATCTAATGTGCTTCCAAAACAACAATGATTAATTAATCAAATTTATGTTGGGTTTTGCTTAATTTTTATGCAAATAAAAACCTCATTACTAAAATTTTATAGAATTCTCTTTCATTATAACAATATAAATTTATCTAACACTTTAATTTTATAGTATTTATCATACATGCTTACGCATATACAATATAAAATCATATAATAGTCGCTTTCCACCTCGTACGTTGTTGTATAACATTTAACTTGGTATACTCTTATTTTTTATGTTACATTTAACTTGGTGTCTCACAAATGAAGTTGCTTCAAGACGAAGTAAGCAATCAGAAAATCAAAAAAGAGTTCCCATGAAAAGGCTAGAACCTACAAATAAAATTTTACATACTCACCTCATTGAGAGGATTTCCATGACTTCATCTCACTACCTCAATTGCTGCTTTTTCTTTAATTTTCTTTGCCATAGTTTGCATCAGAAATTTTTTTGTAGCGGTGAGGGCTTGTCGCTTCTTCTACCTCTGTCACTCACTCGTGGCAGCTACTGCTTCATTCACGCTGTTTATATGTTGAAGATTATGTTAACATGCTTTTCATTAAGTCCCGCAGCCGCACGGTTATGCCACGCATTCTTTCTGTTTTTTTTATTCGTTTGCTTATCTTTCCATCCTTGGATGATTTCGGTGAGTCATTCAAAAGTTTGCTGTGGAAACGACAAACCAAGAATGAAATTTTTTCATTCTATTATCTTTTATCATGAGATGGACATGCACACCAGCTGCACATCATTGCAAATCTCCCCTACTTACAATTTAATAATAGTGTACTTAGTACAATTTGCTATCTTGTAGCTTGTTTACTTGTCAATCTCCCAATAATATCATGCAGTAGTTGCTTTTTCTTTATGAGTAAAAAAATCATATAATTATATTTTAAAAAAAATCACAAAATACTATTATTTTATAATATTTTACTTCTGTAGTTGGTTGTATACCTATTTGGTGCGTAATTAATTGTGTATGTGATACATGCATAATTATCACATGACAAGTTGAGGAGTTGTGCACAGACCACATGCACAACTAGTTGCGTACCATATGTATGTGCAATTAATTGGATTTTGTCATGTGATATCATCATGATTATTCTTGATACCTTCCAACTAATATGTGTACCATGGAATACATATCCAAAATGGAGTAATAGTACAATCTACACATACACATATTACAAAAACAAAGTAGAGAATTGTACAAACTGAATGCGACCTTGAACTCAATTTGATAGGAACCTAAAAAAATATTATGACTTTTTAGAGAATTGGAAGATAGGCAGAGGGAAAGAGAACATTGGAAGATTATGACCATTATAATAGAGAATTGCATAGATGATAACAATGATGCCACGTGAATAAATTTAGTTAGATGTGCGCATACTTGATGCTCAACAAATTACACATGAGTTATATGCGTAACTTGTGAGAGCTTGTCATGTGGCAATTGCGAATGTACCACATGCACAACTAATTAGGCATTAGGTATGCATGCAATTGAGTACATTAGTTAGATAAAATATTTAAAAATAATATAATCCGGTATTTTTTTTAAATGCAATTATATGGCATTTTTGCTTTTTTATATGCTTTTAATAAGACATGACATAAACTTGTTATTTGTAGTGAAGTTTACTTATTAGAAAGCATATCATGATGACTTTACAAAACAATCCCTTAATTTTTAGTGTTGCGAAATGTGCTTACGGGAATATACCACTATAAATAAAAACTGTTTAAAAAGATAATGAGAAATACAAGATTATATTATTATGGCATTTTCGTGTGTTTGGGCAATCATAACAGGTCGCAAAAGAGGATGAACTCAAGAAATATATTTTCTATGCTGTTATTTAAACTTGTGAGGGAAAAAACATAGCAAGGATTATATTAAGCAACGTGGACAAGATTTGGCTTACGCAATATGCATGCCTAATTTGACACAAGATTTTTAGAGTGATGAGATGCCTCGATGCTCTGAAGTTGGTTTACTCGGTGTATATGCTTGAAGGTGAAGCCGAGGATTGGTGGACGAACACTGTGCAACCGTTGGAAGCTGAAGGACGGGAAATCACCTGGCGGTTGTTTGAGACTTTGTTCTTGGATAACTACTTTCCTAGGGAGGCTAGGGAAAGGAAGCAAAATGAGTATAATGATTTGAAGCAAGGGTCGATGACAATTGACCAATATTTTGCCAAGTTCAATGAATTGGTGAAGTATGCTAATTATGGGAGAGCCTTACCCACTCCGGCCGAGATGACCTCCAAATTCCAATGGGGTCTGAATGAGAAGATGTCTAATTGCCATATCCGTGAGTTTAGCAAGTTTGTGAACCAATGCCGAAAAGTGGAAGAAGTGTACAATGTTTCCAAGATCAAAAAGCCTTCTGAGGCACAAACATCTGGTGCTAGTGGAGCAGCTGGCTCTACTCTAGAAAAAGTAAGAAAATTTATGACAAGAATGAAAAGAAGAAATTACAAGCTAGACAATCCGAAGAAAAGTTTAAGAGAAGCGGGAGTCAACAGAGTTGGGACAATGAAAGACCTATTGTGCCCAAGTGTGACAGTTGTGGCAGGCATCACAAGGGCGTTTGTTTGATGGGCCAAAATGTATGTTTCAAGTGTGGTAGACCTGGTCACTATGCGAGGTGTAACATCCCGAGCGCTGACGAGGGCGGGGAGTGATCGCCGGTGCGAAAGGACATGGACAAGGAGCAGCTCCTGACAGGCTTCCAGCGGGGGGTTACATGAATGAATCGAATTGACCCCCGAAAGAGAGGGATTCCAAAGGTTGTGCAGGTATGAAACTGCACAGTTTGGGATAGCTTATAAGAATTAATTGGTACTACCTATACTAATAAGATGCATCTTTTTTCGGTAGCCCGGAACGGAAGAACTCCATAGTTAAGCGTGCTTGACTTGGACCAATTCTGGGATGGGTGACCTGTTGGGAAGTTTTCCCTGGAAGTGTGCGAGTGAGGAAAAAGCACACTGAAAAGTCTCGTGTTAGTATGTGGGGATAGTCGTTAATTCTTGAAGCGGCCGAGCGTTACACGAGGGATTGTCCTTAGATCGTGGGACGAGTTGCTCACGTGCAAGTGGTTTCTGACCCTCCAGCAGCGGCACATGTTAGCACTTCGACCCAACCCCAGCTAGAGAGGTTCCCATGCTTGATGGAAGGTATGACGCATGTAGATTAATATGACATGCATAGTTTATTGAGGTTGGAGCCACACATGCCTAGATTGTGGACTCAATTATGATCGTGTGATTAGTTATGTCTAGTAATCAAAGACTAGACTATGAGTAGATTGATAAAATATTATGAGTTATATGCAATAACCTTTTCATGGATGTGGTTGTATTACCTCCATGAGGATATTATCCTATGAGAGAGAGAATTCTCATGAAAGGCCCAGATTGAGGGGAACTTCCCTTGGAGTTAGCCTTTGAAACCTCCTTGTGGTCAGACACCTAAGAGAAACATCCCATAGTGGATCTCTCTTGGAAGTTCCATCAGATGAGATTTTGTATGAGGTTATTAGTAGGACTGCAGAACGTCAAGGTTAAATATCAAGTGAATAGATATGACCCTTGAGGAAAGTGAAAGATGAAAATTCTTGAATGTATTAGTATCACCTAATAATAAAATTTAACATTCCCGTCTCGAGCCGGTTCAATTAACATGCATATGATAAAAACAAAAACAATGAAAGACTTAACTTACGAAAATACGAGCTAACTTTTTTCTTTTTCTCTTTTAATTCTCATTAGGCGTAAACGAAAATCGGACAGAGTAACCTCTGTAAATCGGACAACTGGGGATTTTCCAATCCCACTCTCAAGAGTTCCTGATAAACAGTTTAAACAATACAGATATCCAGAAGTACCAGTCATGATATACTCAGATACCCATCCATGGGCGCATGCAGAACTTGGCTCTGTGCCACTAATCTACTAGCACACAATCCAATACATAACATAACTGAATACTACCTAGTTATATCAACATGCCTGAATACATAAATGTACATGCATCAAATTGAAAGACATGTACAAGACATATACAAGCCATATATAAGGTGAGAGATCAAACATCATGATCCCCAAAATAACTAAAAATACGAAATACACTAATACACTCCAAAAAGGGTAGTAGCCTACAGCCACTCAAAATTCGATCCGTCAACTGCCTCAGCCACGTGTCGTGTCCCTGCCTAATGAGGGCTCACCGGGAGTCTGGGAACCTGAAATAATATCCCCAAAAGGGTGAGATAACAATCTCAATAAGTTCCAGGTTTATAGAGAATTCTCCATACCCCAGGCTCACTCCTGCATGAAAGTCAAATACAGAGTATACAGATGCATTTATAACAGATATCATAGCAGGACAAAAATTTTAAGGAGGACAAACTGAGTTCTCACGTCCCCTTTTAAAGAAACAAACTGGGTTTTTTTATTATTTGGACCAACTCGCTGAAGTGAGCTGCTCAGCGAGCATATTATATTACCTCGCTGAAGCGAGCTGCTCAACGAGCCAATTAAAACTTCTCGCTTGCTTTGCTCGCTGAAGCAAGACGCAGAACAAGGAAGAATTAATTTTTATTAATTCTTTATTTTCTTGATTTTGATTTTTCAACTGCTGATCTCAATTGCCTTTTCCATCAGATTAGTGATTTGTTACATTGAACATGAAACAATATGAAAATGGATTATAATCTTATCTAGTTGTTGGTATTTTAATATATTTTAGATTTATTAATTAACACTATATTAATAATCATATTAATCATTATTTAAAGTAATTTTAATATTAAAAACACAGACTTATCAACTAAATATTGAAATAACTAACAAAAGGTCCAAATACAAATTATCACATAATTGAATTTCCTAATGAATTGAACAAAGGAGATCAAAAGAGATGTAAGCTCCTGTATATACACAACATGCTCTTCAAGGACAACCGATCATATACAAGTGCTAACAGAATTCCTCAAGGTACAGTGTACCGGGAAAAAAAAAATTCATAAAGGCACATAAATGATATTGTTAGATAAATATAATTAAAATTATTAACCTGATATTCACCTAATAGTAACTTTTGAATTGAATTGATGTTTTATATAATATCAAAATCTTTGTGGTAGGTGGGTGCTTGTTAATTGTCCATACTTCAAACTCATTATGTTTTATGTAAGGAGTGTATTAGACAACTATAAAATTATTAGGGCATGTTTGGTGCAACGTATAAGGCCTGATAGTATAAAGTTATACTATATGTTATGACATTTTCAGTTGTTTGGTGTGATCATCGTATAATATAAGCTTATACAGCAGAATCCCTTAATACATCAAAATGATGTATAACTTAATCCGGCCTAAGGAGGAGGGATTAAGCCTGATAAGGGGTAAGTGTATTAGCATCGTTGACCAGTGCAATTCTCAAAAATTAATATATTATTTTAATACTAATATATTAAAATAAAAATTAATTTTTCACTATATTAATTTTTAAAATATTGAATTTTTTTTTATAAAAATTAATTTTTTTTTTGGACACACTAATCAATAGATTTTTAAAAAAATTAATACCATATGACATTTTTTGAAGAATTATATAAATTTTTTATTAAATGATATTTTCATTAAAAATATTTATTTTTATCCTATATAGTATTGTACAGTGCATTACTAAATATTAGATGATATTATTTTATACAATATATTATTTTATATAATATCATGCCAAACTACTGAATAGTATTAAAATTCAACCAAATCTTATATAATCAAACCTTATATTATCAAAGCTTATACTATCAATTCTTTATATTATCAGAGTTTATACTATGAATCCTTCTTCTAATAAAGTGATTCAAGAGCATATCAGAAAATTTTAACGTCACACATTCAACAACCGCAAGCGAGACAGAAGTATACGCACTTGAATCAGGATATTCTCACTTGGTTCAAATTAAATGACATGTTCAATCCTTTAACTTTGTAAAGTATACAGAGGAGTCATGTAACGCCAAAAGCATTATATAAGTATCAAGATTTAAGATATCACCTTTATACTGTGAAAAAGTAATTTATTCTCTCTTTTAATATATTAAAACATATTATTATAACCTCAATCTTTATTTCTGATACAATGGTAATGGTTTGAACTTATTTGCTCCTGAAAATCATCCAAACCTAAATCTTTTTTTTTTTTTTTTTTTTGTAATACAAACCTAAATCTTTATTTAAGCTAAACTTCGTTCACCGCTTCATAAGTATTTAATACACAATAGTTACCTTGTAGAACTCAATAAAGAGATGGACACATAATTACTATTTGCAACCACCATAACCAAATCCAATTTTACCTCCTGCTACATCATACACTATCTCTAACGTTTTCTGTTGAACGTTTCCAAAAAGTACAAGATCATCACCTCCCGGATATGGTGCAAAAGGCAAACAAACAAGGGTGGAGTTGAGTGGAAAAGCTATACCAGTGGGCGGTAGATCTAAAACAAAACCATCTGCAAACAAGAAGCTCATTTTCGGAATTTTAAGTTTAAGAAGACTACCAACATCATAACAAGTGTCGAAAGCTCCAAACGGTTTTGTCAACTGATAATGTGACATGACTTTTCTGTAAGCTTCTCGCAAAGTAATATAATCCTTGGGAGGTAACCTTGTAATAATAGTACCAGAATCAATGCTTGCAGTACCATTCTTGAAAGCAATGGGAAGTTTGGTGTTGCCAAGTTTTATTCCAACAAGATTAACGGCATAACCTGCTCCTAGCTGTGTGAAATTCAAGGATTTTGAAACTGGTTTAGCCTTACCAAATTTGAGAAAACCAATCTCACTTGCTTTTGATGGTAAACAGTATGAAAAAACTCTCTGATATGTGTTGGCTGTTTGTTCCACAAATGATAAAAAACCCTGGTCGAGCCCAAGTATGCCATCAATGCCTTCCATGCTGACATTAGCGAATTCAGCACACCCAAATATTGTGTCATTGAAAGTATCGGATCCTACACTTAGCCTTTCTTTAGCAAGAAATCCAACGAGTGATGATCCATCTACATAAGCTCCGCCGTACAAGCATGTTGAGGTTGAAGAGCAACTTGAACTCCCTGCAGTTTTATGATAAGAATCCGTAAAGAACCAATTCAACTCAAATGCTTAAGCTGTTGGGTGAGGTTACATTAATGATTTTATATATCGCAACACGCTGCCTCACACGAGAGTCCACTGGGTTTGAAGGGTGAACAATGCACATGCTCATCTACCTATGCTAAGAAATTCCACAAGAGAAAATTGGGGGGGGGGGGGGGGGGGGTGAGGATCAAACCAGTACATCGAAGCTTTGATACCATGTAAAGAATCAATTTAACTCAAAAGCTTAAGCTGTTGGGTGAGGCTACATTAATGATTTTATATATCTCCACAGAATCAAATAACAGAGATGTTAGGTTGCAAGTCATAAAGAAGCTTATATAGGTTAAAGCTACCTACTTGGCTAACAGAATGTATTACAACATTGAAAAGTTTTATTTTCTAAGAATATCTTGAATGGGCTAGTTAAGTGATCACAGCCTTATTGCATTTACGACACAGGAAAAAAAATGTGCATAATATATTGAATACATATAGTTACCTAAAGTGGTATTGGTCAGACTGCATGTGTGTGAGGGACATGTAACGTTGATGTAAGTTGAAGATTTTGATGGATCAAAGATTGGATCTGCTTGCTTGTAACAACCATGGGAACTTCCAAACTTACAAGGTTGGCATTGAGTCCATATGAGACTACTTCCTGTATCCATCACAAGCGTCAACTCCTTTTTAGGTGTTCCCAGACCCACATTCACAACGTATTGAAGAGTAATGCTACTATCCCACTTTACTTTAACATTGTTCTTGCCACAGAGCTTGGACTGCAGCTTGGAGTTTACTCTTGTTTGGTCTCCTTCAAGGATTTGACGTACAGAAGGAGCATTTGCTTTCCCATGCTTGCTTGGAGAGCAGGGTCCATATTTGTGGAACAATTTCAGACCCTCCTCTTTGGATGAGACTACAGTTCAAACCAATCACAGCTTCAAAAAAATTACTCTCGGAAAATAATTATGTAATAGAGCCTGAACTTAATTAGTTTCATGATGAAATAGAGATGTCGGGGATGAAAAATTGCATGCGGTTTAGTATTGTTGATTTTGATTTGGCATAACATTGAATTGAAACTTGTTTTTGTAGTATGAGACAATAAAGCGAACCTGTGGCTAGTGGTTTCAAAATGTTCAAAAAACCAAATCGATCCGTAATCAAACTGTTGCACATTTTAAAAATTGGTTTTATATGAAACTGCATTTTATTTTATAAACTAATTATTTACCAAATCATAAAATTAATTGGTTATTCATGGTTATCCATAACCAAACTGCTATACATTTAAAGAACAAATAAGTATTATCTTTTATCATGCCTATTATATATCAATTGACTCAAACTTTCAAACAATAAACTAGTAAAAAAAGTTAAGCATCTCATGTAGAAAATATTTATTTAAAAAAAATTACACATAAATCGAAAAGTCTCATTCTAAGAAAGCACTTCTTATGTAACGTAATAACTTTTTTTCCCAAAAAAAAAAAATAACCACGTATAGGCCTCCGGGCAAACTCATAGCTTGACAAGGCGAAGGCTTTGAAATGACAAAAATGAAGTTAAAAAATAATCACGAAAAGGGCAATGAAATTAATCAATTGGCTTAACGTCTCTGAGAGCGCCATTAAAAGGACAACTCACAATGGATTTACTTATTTGTTCTTTAATTAGAGAGCAGTTTGGTCAAGGATAACCAATTATTTTTATGGTTTGGTAAATAACTAATTTATAAAAATAAATTACAGTTACATATGAAATCGATTTTTAAAAATAACTGATTTTAAAATGTAGAGCAGTTTGGTTATGGATTGGTTTAATTCTTTTGGACATTTTGAACACCCCTACCCATACCTTCGTCGATCAGTTTAAATGAAACTCTTAGTAACATAAATCTTGAGAGAACGAAGAGCAATTTTTTTATAATTTTAAAATAATTCAACTGTTCTTCTACCAACCACTCTAAACAACATGAAATAATTTCTATAAGAATCATTTCATTCGGAGAGTTCCAAAATAATGCAGATTCTTGCAAGAAATAGTTGGTCAACTGCCTATTAACGGAAGAAACAAACGACTACTTATAAAAATAGCACAATCCATCAAAAACTGATTTTAAATTTGTTAAAAAACTGGTTTTTAACTTGATAACTGGTTTATGGTTCATAACCGGTTTTGATTTAAAACAAGTTTTGAATTAAAACCGGTTTTAAATCAAAACCAGTTATAAATCATAAACCGGTTTTGAAAGAAAAAACCGGTTCGGTTTAAAAACCAAACTGTTTAAAACCGATTCGGTTTTTGTTAAAACCGATTATGAACCGCTTCATGCCCACCTGTGGCAGAATGGCTGCAATTTGAGTCTGTCAGTAAAGAGCTGATTTCAACAATGTGGAAATGATTGCTTTCTGTTGGTATCTCACTCTGAAAGGCACAACTACTTTGGTGTATAGAATTGGGAAGAAAATGCAGAGCAAGAAAGCGAATCAGAGAGAAAGAGAAGTTTCCCATTTTTCTTGTAATAGTCTTCTTCTAAAGTTCTGGTGCTAATAAGTAGTACTATATATTCTTCTGAAGTTCTTGGAAGTCAGCTAATTAGAAAATTAACGTGTGTGAACAAAAATTAAAATTAAAATAAAATAAAATCTCAAAGCCTTACCAAAGTAGCAATGCATATAGCAATGTCCGATATTAAAATAGCCTCAATGGAGTAAACAAAGTATTTTTTGAATAAGATAAAAGACTGCCGCTGGCGCAAATGCGTATTGACAATAAAAAATTAATTAATTTAAACACTCCATGTGAATACCGATTAATTTCAGACCTTCTGAGTAGTTTTGGGTAACCACTAACGTAAATTAACGGAATACTAAAAGATTTTATTGAAAGGTTGTTGAATCCCAAATACATTTCGTGCATCGGTTGGTCGGTTTTTTATATCTTATATCAAGAATCGTATCGAATAGTAAAATACAGAAATATAACATAAAAAATTTAAAAATATATAATATAATTAATAGGGGAGGAATCTTTTGACTCTAAAGTAAGATTTGCAACTCTTACTTCTCATCTCAACCGTTGATTTCCGTCCATCTAACGGTTATCTATAACAATTAATTAATTGTTTATTTCAAATAAATAATAACCGTTAGATAGACGGAAATCAACGGCTAAGATGAAGAGTAAGAGTTGTAAGTCTTACTCTAGAGTCAAAAGATCCCTCCCCTAATTAATATCATATAAATCTAAATTTCAAAAAAGATCCAATCCGTAAAATACATAAGTTATTAAAGTGCAAACTAGTTATTCTCCTACTCATTAATTACCAGAACTAATATTATCACAACTATATAGTGTTTTAAAACTCTGCCCCACCCCGGGATCGACCCCGTCGAGTCACTGACCCCCTCTCTCTCTAAGGGTTGGGGTCAGCAGTTAGACTCTGCATGCATGTTGACCCCCGAAACCTCTCTAATTGAACCCGTGACTTCCGGGTCAGAGGGGCCACTGCATTTTTTTTTTAAAAAAAAATTTACACACGAAAAGACGTCGTTTGATTTGTAAAAAAATAAAAAATAAAACAAAAACAAAACATAACATAACAAAAATTGCTTTGCCATGCTTGCTTGGAGAGCAGGGTCCATATTTGTGGAACAATTTCAGACCCTCCTCTTTGGATGAGACTACAGTTCAAACCAATCACATCTTAAACAATTTACTCTGGGAAAATAATCAAGTGATAGAGCCTGAATCTAGTTTCATAACGAAATAGGTGTGTGTGTGTGTGTGTGTTTTGAGGGCAATGCAATATTAGTGGAAGGGGAAAATATGCATATGGTTTAGTATTGTTGACTTTGAATTTGGCAGAACATTGACTAGAAACTTGTTTTGTAGTATGAGACAAGAAAGCGAACCTCTACCAGAAGGACTGCAAGTGGATTCTGTCAGTAAAGAGCTGAATTCAACATAGTGGAAATGGTTACTTTCTGTACTCTGTAAGGCACAACTTTGGTGCATAGAATTGAAAAGAAAAAGCAGAACAAGAAAGCAAAGCAGAGAGAAAGTTAAGTTGCCCATGTTTCTGGTAATCTTCTTCCTCTGAAATTCTGGTGCTAATAAGCAGTGCTATGTACTCCTATATAAGCATCACCAAGTAGCAATGCATATTAAAATTAAATATGTTCATTTGAAGCATTCAATGCTTATATATACTAATGATGGTAATAAAACATGCATTTTAAATAAACAAAAAAGACTGCCCCAGGTGCAGATGCGTATTCACAATAATTTTATTTTATTTTATTTTTTAACCATTTGATACATTCAATGTGAATGCCGATTAAGTTCAGACCTTTTAAGTAGTTTGAATAATCACTAACTTCCAATAACGGAATGCTAACGGATTTTATTAGTGTTTCTTGGAGCTCATTCTTGCCTTGGCTGCCTACTCCTGATTGAGGATATTCATTTTAATTATTACAAATGTTTATTTCTTATGCATTTTCATTTGTTTCTGAATACACTTTCTTGGTTAAATAATAAATTGTGCTTTCCAATTGAATATTGACTACTCAGCTGTGTTAATTTAGAAAGCCCTAAATGATAATATTTACACTTTTATCTTTTTATATTTGTTTTTAAATTATTAAATAAATAATAAATAATTATAATTTTAAATATATGTGTAGTTTCCATCTAATCAAGCCACTTATCCATTTCATATTATAAACTCATTTTTTTCGATGAAAATTTGACTCTTTCAAGTCAAATGTTCTTTAATTATCTAAAACCTTGCCCCTGTTGATGACTAACCGGTTAAATGACTTGACTAGACGGGGTCGTGCCAACTTGCTAGCTGTAAATATAACTTTATATATATATATATGGGTAAGGATCCGTTTACAAATTTTTTGTACAAATTTTTACAAATTACACTATCTTCTTCTGGGAGAAGATAGTGTAACTAGTGTTCTCCTGGAAGAAGATAGTGTAGTTTGTAAGAGTTTGTAAACAAAAAAGTTTGTAAATATAACCTGCCCCTATATATATATATAATTATATTTACAAATTTTTTTGTTTATAAACTACACTAAGTATGACCAGTCATACTTAAATAAAGAGTATATAACTGGTCTTACTTAGTGTAATTTGTAAGAATAAGTTTGTAAACGAATCATTCCCATATATATATATATATATATATATATATATATATATATATATATATATATAGCGGATATACAATGGCCTGATCTAAGATTTAGTACAGTTAAAAAATTATAACTATGTACTACGGGTAGTATATAATTATAATATTAAAGTTGTATTTTTTTTCTTTCTTTAGAATTTTAACTTTGTATTATGGTAGTACATTGTTATAGTATTAAAGTTATTTTTTCTCTCTCCTCAGTAACTTTTCAGACAGTTGTCGGACGACATAGGAGAGAAAAAAAATGACTTTAATATTATAGCTATGTATTATCCACAGTACATAGTTAAATTTTTGAAGAGAGAAAAAATACAACTTTAATATTATAACTATGTACTACACGTAGTACATAGTTATAATTTTTTGACCGCCCCAAAGCTTAGATCCGGTCACATGACAAATGTATATATATATATATATATATATATATATATATATATATATATATATGTCCTTTTTTCTCATACAAAAGAAGTGGTGGGCCCCACCAACCATTAAAAAATAAAATTGTTGTACAAAATTTGATGTCTCATAAGTAGAAGAAAGAATTATCCGGCAACATGAGAATTATTTTCCCATATATATATATATATATATATATATATATATATATATATATATATGAAAAATATTTTCTCATGTCGCAGGAGAATTGTTTTTTCCTACCAGTGACCCTTTAATTTTAGTACAATATTTTCTTTTATTTTTTAATAGATGTGGGCCCTATACAAGATGTGTTTATAGCATGTGAAAATTTTCTCCTACTACATGAGAAAATTAATACATATATATATATATAGGTAAAATCATTTCTGCAGCCGCTTTACGTATAACAATGACAAGTGTATGATTATGATTCCCCATATTTAATGCTTTTATCTTTTGTATGGTTATAATTTCCCGCATTTAATGCTTGCACGTATATATATGACAAATGTTTGATGGGTGCACGTACAACAGCTGTAGAAATGTAAACCACACATATATATACATGTGGCTTTAATGTTTCTGCAGTGAATGTAGAGAAGTTATCTATATTTGCTCCCAAAACGACGTCGTTTTGGGTTGAAAAATAAAAAAATTATAATGAAAAAGACTATTATAATCCTGAAATAAATTATAATTACAAAAATACCTTGATTTTCGCTCAAAACAATGTCATTTTGGGCTCACTGTAGATAAGTTATCTACATTGACTGTTGATAACTCTCCCAAATGAGAGTTAATTTATTACTTTTATGATAAATTTGTTGCATAAATTCCATATAAAGTGTCTTAATTGCATGATAATTGAGCTAAACATTGCATATTCATGATTAAGTGCTTTGAGATGACTAAGTATGAAGAATGAGATAAATTCCTTGATTTTGTGTAAGAAAAGATGACTTGTTGAGTGTTTGTCTTTGCATGAAAAATTGACGTAGGAATGCTGTAGCAGAAAAGTTGACGAAGTAATGACATAGCAAGCGCTACAGCATGACATTGTGGACAAAGGGACAACCGAACTTTTGAATTTCAAAAGTTAGTTATTCTTCAACAATACACCAGCAAGCAAGGGAAGTTTCTGGAGATTTAGTTCAGAAATCACAAGGGTCAAAGACAAATTCAAAGATTGAGTCTTATCCCAAAATCCCAAAGAACAAGGACAACAACCTTGATTCGGTCAACAACATTGGCACAAGAAATCTAAGAAGATAAAGATCTTATCCAATTAAGTGCCAACAAATCCGAAAATCCCAAGGATCAAGGACGATTTCAAAGATTGAGTCTTATCCCAAAATCCCAAAGAATAAGGACAACAAACTCTTGTTCGGTCAACAACAATATTGGCACAAGAAAATCAAGAAGATTAAGATCTTATCCAATCAAGTGCCAACAGCCCAAGAATTTAGGGATAAGATAAGGCTGCAGCAACCGGATTCATGAATCCCCACTCTTAATTCCTAAAGCCCAAAGCCCAACCATTTTTCCTATTTAAGAAGAGCTCCTCCACGAGTTAAAACAGAGAGAAACAGTTTGAAACACAGTTAGAGAGGTTCAAGGTTCAGAAGGTCAGAAGCAAGGAGGAGAGTTTTAGAGGGAGACAGTGAGCTTTTTGGAAGAGGAAGAGCAGCGCTGGAGCAGTGCTGGAGCAAGGCAGTGACGACGTCTTCCTGCAGCAATTGTTTTTAACTTCTTTTCTGTTTTCCAATGAATTCTTTCTTTCTTTTCTCTGTTTTATTTAATTTCATTATGAGCTAATTTGCTCCATAGGTTAGGTGATAAAGTACCTATACTATAACATTGAGATGTATGCCTAAAC